TGTACTTGGCACGGTACTGCGTTGTCTTACGCCGGGCGTATCGCGAGCACTGACGTTGAATGTTTCGGCAGTACATGTCCTTGCAGTACCGACGAGAGCTCAATAAGAGTAGTATTCCGCCCTAGCTTCAGAGGCAAGTTATGTAGACTCGGCCGTTCCCCCACTTTGTTGTCAGTTGCCATAAGAGTTCAGGGCCATTTGTCTCCACTTCGTCAGCTGCGATAGGCCCTTTGATGTGGGATACCAATAGAGGGGAGTACAAGGAGAAGGGAAGAGTATTGATCATGACGGTTTGTCAGTCAAGATGGGTGCTGGACAGGAAGGAAGTGCTCGGCAGCTGCAATAGGATCAGACAGCCGCATTCTGGAAGTCAAATGACAAAATATGTAGGCGACATCTGCGTCGACCAGAGTCTAGGGCACTGATAAGACCATCTGCTCATTGTCGGCTCCGGAGTGTCATTATGCATGACACCGTGTTCTACATTGCACGTGATTGATCGCGAGTCCGGGCCGACTTTGTAACTTCGGAAGTTGGCCTAGGCCCTCACTCGTTGGTGACACCGGTCATCGTCGTTCTCATCCTCCTGAACGCGGATGTTTGCACAATCGAGCGCCGAAGTTGAGTAGTTACTATGGCGAATGGATAAGGACTCGAAGACGGATCGCCGTAAGAATAGTGTGTTTGTCCTCATGATGCGGCTGATCTCAATGTTGACCTTGAAACCAGACCGCCCCCAACAATCAGCTAGATAGGATGTATAGAAGAAGTGGCAAGGGCGCTGGTATGCTTGCAATTGATCACCGATTTTGAGTGCACGGTGGAATTCAACAATGCTTCAGCTATAGACCTGATCCGTTGTTGCTTCAACTCCGCGCTTCCCAAAGACCATTGTCGCTCGAATGCGTGCGGATATCCAGATGTTCGGGAAGCGAAGTTCAAGACTAGTTGGATCTACTTCTTCGGGTCTTTCGCAACGTGAGCGTCTGGGCTGCGCCAACGATGCTGCTTCTTGCCTACACGAACCCCGTCTGGAAGCTCTCAAGACACATACTGTTGTGGGTTGAAACGCGACGCCAAGTGACCGGCAATCTTCATGATCATGATCCGCGTAGCACCGGATATTGTCGTGCTTTCGCCTGTGCGATAGCCGAAAAATCGTGCGGTCTCTCATGACACCTCTCGGGGAAGTTGTTTCGTGGGCGACCTTAAACATCGACACGCTTCTTCTGCCCTCTGGCTCCCCGACGCCCGCGCGATAGCTCTCACCCGTTGCGTCCGATCCCGGTCCCTACGAATTCAGGAGAATTGAGACGGCGCAGTTTGTCAATGATCAACCTGATGGACATGTCACCCAAGTATGTTTGCTAATACCGTATTCTACGCACTTCGTTGACGTGGCGATCTCTCTCAGTGCAGTTCATCAGCCCGGTTCGGACTGGAAGGCAGCCGTAGTCTCTGCGGAAACGCTTCGGTCAGTGATTAAGACGCAGTATAGCCGGATAGATTGCTGAAACTCTTGTAGATGGGTTGAAGAAGGTGCCTTGGACGGAACATTGAATTGCAAGTCATGGGGCGCTCTACCAAGTGGAGGGTTTTACAGGCTGCTAGGAGCGACACGACGAATTCGACCACGGAAGGAAGTTGTGCCGGATATTCCACCCCATCTACTGTCTCGAAT